GTCATGAAGCCAGGGTCCCAGAAACCAATGAAAAGCCTGCACGCACCAAATACTGCGGACAGCAGATCCAGAGGGAACAATGCCAAGACAGCCAGGGAAGGCTCTAAAGACATGTCAGAGCTGGGAAGCTCTGGACACACAATGATTCCGATGAGGACAGAAAACCTCAACAACACTGGAAAATCAGGGGCTGGGGAGATGGCTCAGCGGGTGAGAACACTGGCTCCTCTTGCAGAGGACCTGGGTGCAGATCCGACACCCACATCAGGCACCTCCGGTTCCAGGGGATTCAACACCCTTCATCAGACACTATTATGTGGTACATATACATACATTCGGACATATACATAAATAATAATAATTTTGTTATTATTATTATTTTGGTTTTTAGAGACAGGGTTTCTGTGTGTAACAGCCCTAGCTGTCCTGGAACCAGCTCTGTAGACCAGGTTAGCCTCAAACTCACAGAGATCCGCATCTGCCTGTCTCTGCCTCCTGAGTGCTGGGATTAAAAGCGAGTGCCACCACTGCCTGGCATAAACTATTTTTTTATAAAAGCCACAAAACTAATTTAAAAGTTTTAGAAAATGTAGTATATCCTCAGAAAAAAAATAAGTGAGCCGAGATAACTAAATTTTTATACTGTGTGTGTGCAGAATGAGGAACTGGAGCTCATTTTTGCTTATTTTTAAACCTTTTTGATGCACACCGTCTATATACGCAGTATACACACGAGTGTGGGGTGCACACCGTCTATATACACAGTGTGTGCATGAGTGTGGGGTGCACATGGTCTATATACGCAGTGTGGGGTGCACACCGTCTATATACACAGTGTGTGCATGAGTGTGGGGTGCACACCGTCTATATACACAGTGTGTGCATGAGTGTGGGGTGCACACCGTCTATATACGCAGTGTGTGCATGAGTGTGGGGTGAACACCGTCTATATACACAGTGTGTGCATGAGTGTGGGGTGCACACCGTCTATATACGCAGTGTGTGCACGAGTGTGGGGTGCACACCATCTATATACGCAGTGTGGGGTGCACACCGTCTATATACACAGTGTGGGGTGCGACCCGTCTATATACACAGTGTGTGCATGAGTGTGGGGTGCGACCCGTCTATATACACAGTGTGTGCATGAGTGTGGGGTGCACACCGTCTATATACGCAGTGTGTGCATGAGTGTGGGGTGCACATGGTCTATATACGCAGTGTGGGGTGCACACCGTCTATATACACAGTGTGTGCATGAGTGTGGGGTGCACACCGTCTATATACGCAGTGTGTGCATGAGTGTGGGGTGCACACCGTCTATATACACAGTGTGTGCATGAGTGTGGGGTGCAACCCGTCTTTATACACAGTGTGTGCATGAGTGTGGGGTGCGACCCGTCTATATACACAGTGTGTGCATGAGTGTGGGGTGCACACCGTCTATATACGCAGTGTGTGCACGAGTGTGGGGTGCACACCGTCTATATACGCAGTGTGGGGTGCACACCGTCTATATACACAGTGTGTGCACGAGTGTGGGGTGTGCACGAGTGTGGGGTGCACACGGTCTATATAAACAGTGTATGCACGAGTGTGGGGTGCACACCTTGCACACTCACAGCTCTGTCAGTCCCCATCATGTTTTCCTCAGACAGGTTGTCTCACACATCTGGAGACCCGTGGCCTGGGAGCCTTAGTGATCCCTCCCCCTAGTCCTGGGGCTACAGGCACAGACACGGTCACACTAGCTTTCTATGTGGGTTCTGGAGACTTTGAACCCAGAAGCTTATAACTGAGCAGCAAATGCTCGCTGAGCCGTCCTGCCAGTTCTCTTGTCTTTTGAGAGGTTGGCACAGTCAACATTACCACAATCTATCTCTACCACTCTTTATTATGACTCCATCTAGTCCGCTTTCACAGGAATTTCGGTAACGTTGATCTTAAATGGCACATATCGAATAGAACCATTAAGGGAGAAATAAGTAAAGCACATAAAAAGGGAAATGGTGCTGAGGGCGTAATGATCCCTGGAACAGTAGCTAAAGATTAAACTCGGCTCTAGGTTTCCAACGATACAAAGGAAAAGCACCAAACCTTAGCCCGAGGTGTGCGCTCGTGGATAGGATACAGCCTTTATCGTCAAATAGCCCTGCCTACCCAGCCCACAATCATAACTTGGCTGAGCAAATGGTGGGGACATCTGAGGGAGGATGAGCTGTGGTCAGCAGAAACCACACGGTCCATGATGTGTAAGTATCTGGAAAATATCCTTCACGAAGTATTGCATAGAGAAATACCAGGTTAAAACGGAAGATGAATTGCTCTAATCACACGAATATCATAGAAGAGTGTCATCAATCATTTTTGTGCCTAAGTCTCTTGATTCACGTGGATAATTAAACATTTTAGTGCATTTTAATATAGTGCGTCGGGGGGTGTCAGAGGACGGAATTGAACTCAGGTTGCCCACATGGGGAAGGGTGGGCAGAAACAACGTGTAACAGAACATTAGCAACCATTCCGAGAGAAGCGGCTCTGCTTCTCACATCGCCACCCTCCCTTTCCTGCTCCTCCTCTTCATCTCCAATCCCCTCCTGAACCCTCTTCTGATGGGAGGCTGAACTCAGGGTCCCACACATGCCAGGCGAGTGTTCTATGAAGCCTTATCTCCAGTCAGCCTCCCTTTCTGATTTTTGAATGGATACATAGTACTTACATCAAAACAAAAGCACAATGGAATCTGATATGACGCTTCCGAGAGGCCTAGAGTATTGGGAGAAGAAAGCCGGCCCGACCCACCAAGCACACCAAGTGAAATGGCTTCCTAGAAGGTGTGTTGACAAAACATCACAAACCACTCCTGTGCCCCTGCATGAAACCAGCTATCCTCCCTCTGAGAACGCTCTCCTAGGGAGTCACACAGCACTGCCAAGACCTCTTTACAAGATGCTCCTCACAGTGGCCTGCCATGTGAAAATCAAATAAAAGGGTATAATGCCTGCCAGTAGGGGACAAGTTGAACCAATTGCTGTCATCGATACATTTCCGACAATGGCTGGGGTGGTTTGAAGAAGAAAGGTCCCTCATAGGCTCATGTATCTGACTAAGTGGCCCCCAGCTGGTGATGCAGTTTGGGGAGGCAATGGAGCCTTGCTGGAGGAAGGATGTGGGTGGTGAGGGTTTCTAGTCTGGTCCCATGCCCTATTTGTACAATGTCTCTCTGTTTCCTGTTTGTGGCTACAATGTGCTTAGCCACCAAACTGCTCCTGCCACTAACCATGCATTGTCATCGCTGCAATGATGACCTCCACCCACCTGGAACCATGTGCCAAAATAAACCTCTTCTCCCTTTCTTCTTTTCTCTGAGACCGGGTCTCACTGTGCAGCCCTGGCTGTCCTGGTACTCGCTCTGTAGACCAGGATGGCCTCAAACTCAAATATCTGCCTGCCTCTTATCTCCTGAGTGCTGGGATTAAAGGGTCCCACCATCACCACCTGGCCAAACCCCTTCATCTTAAACTGCCTTTGCTTTGATGTGTTTTACCACAGCAAGAGAAGTAACAAAATGTCATTCCCACCCCCAAGTCCTTGGGTCTCATTCATGTGAGCCCAGCATGCTACCTAATATAGCCCCAGGCACTAATCTTTTAAACTGACTTATTTAACTTGTATTTAGCGTTATTATCTTTTGTGTGTGGATGCGTATAGGTGTGTGGGAGCCATGCACTTGCCATGAGTGCCTGTGAAGTTGGAGGAACACCTCTGGCATTAGTCCTCACCTCTGTCCTGTTGGAGGGAAGGAGGGAGGGAGGGAGGGAGGGAGGGAGGAAGGGACCTGCTAATTACCACTGCACACAGGAGACAGCTGCTATTGGTCCTCAGGTGTTCCCTGTCTTATTTGATGCAGTCTCTCTCACTGGCTCGGAACTTGCCCGATAGGGTAGGCTGGCTACCCAGCAAACCCTAAGGATTTGCCTATCTCTGCCTCCGTAAGGATTACAAGCTTGGACCACATGTCCAGCCTTTTTCTGAGGTGGGTTCTGGGGCCGGAGCTCAGGTCCACATCTGCTTTATCAACTGAGCCCAGATCTAAGCTAAGTATTTTTAATTCAGGATCACGAACAAAACACTGGATGAAAAGATTTCAAAAAGATTTTTTTAAATGAAAATATAGAAAAGCACTTGCAGAGAGAAATGGAAGCGCGCAAAAGTGCCTTGCAACAATCACAGAAAACCAGGCAGAAGGCAGCTGCTGCACAGCAGTCCAGAACAACCCCAGAAGCTGGAAGTCTGGCAAAGCAGAGATTGAGTGAGTTAGACTGGGCAGAGCCTCAGGCAGAGGTAACCAATCGACTTGGTTCATAACAGGAATGCTCAGATAGATGGAAGGGACAGACCAGCTGTCAGGGCCTAGGCGCCACACACTCAAGTCCTGGGAGGTCGCTCCTGTGGTCTGAGGTCCTGTATTAGGTCCCAAGAAGCCAGATCAAACAGAAACAGAGTCACTCATGCTAAAAGGCCTAAGGAAGAAGAAAGATCCCAAATAGACAGACATCCTGGAGACGAAAGAGTCCTCTTGACCAGAGTTGTATACGTCAGCCCTTACAACCCATTTACAGCAATAAAGGAACACTCACCATGGGTTTGAGTTCTCACCAGAGTAAGGAAGCTGAAGTAACCGGGTGCTAGCCACTGAGCTTGTCCCTGCCTTGCAAACCCCACTCGCTGCCACTGCTTAGGGGTGACTGCTTACGGTGAAATCATTTGATTTTTGTACATCGGAGGCTGCCTCGGTTTGTGACGTGCAAGTTAAAGCCAGTCAGATCCGTCACTAAAAACACCGTCATTTCATGTTTTGACAATTCCAACACCATGAGGGTTTTTGACTTACAAACAAACAACAGCAAGCCAACAATAACCACAAAAATAACTCAGTACCAAATACTTTAAAACTAGAAAGGATCATCTTACAGGAGCTAAGGTGTTAGAGCACTTACCTTCAGTTGGAAATTTCCGGGCACGCTCTTCAAAGAACCATTCTCCAGTTTTGATTTTCACATTTCTGAAAAGCAAAAAGAAGTATTTTCTTGAGAGCAGGCTTCACTCTCCAGCTCAAGCTGACCTAGAACTCACTGTGCAGAGCCCAGGCCTCCCGCTCACAGCACGCTCCTGCCTCAGCTGCTCGTGCTGAGGTAACAGCTGTGAGCCATTAAGACCTTTACAGATACCTGTTTTTTAAACAATAGTGTGATTTTTGTAAGGGCGCTTTGCCTGCATGTGTGTCTGTGTGCCACACGCGTACCTGGTAACTTCCGAGGCCAGAAGTGTCAGATTCGTGGGAAATGGAGTTACAGGCAACTGTTACCCGCCGGGCCTGCCCCTGCCCCTGCCCCTACTCTAGGTAGCCATGGACATCCAACCTTTTGGCTTCTCTGGATCAACTGAATGAAGAAAAAAGGTCTTGGCCCACACATTCCGAAGTATCCAACCCCAAGGCCAGCTTTGAATGTGGCCCCAACACAAAACTGTGAACGTACTAAAAATATTCTGTGTGGGCGGACGGGCAGGAGACGCCGGCGCCAGACGCGGAGGAAAAGAAGCTGCGACCAGCCGCCCGGAGGCCGCCGAGCCAGCAATGCCTGAGCCGTCGCCGCGCCCCCATGGCGGCCACCAAGGACAGTCATGAGGACCATGATACATCCACAGAGAATGCAGATGAATCCAACCATGACCCTCAGTTCGAGCCAATAGTTTCTCTTCCTGAGCAAGAAATTAAAACACTGGAGGAAGATGAAGAGGAACTTTTCAAGATGCGGGCAAAGCTATTCCGGTTTGCTTCAGAGAATGACCTCCCAGAATGGAAGGAGCGAGGCACTGGTGATGTCAAACTCCTGAAGCATAAGGAGAAAGGGAACATCCGCCTTCTCATGAGGAGGGACAAGACTCTGAAGATATGCGCCAACCACTATATCACATCAATGATGGAGCTGAAGCCCAATGCTGGCAGTGACCGTGCCTGGGTCTGGAATACTCACGCCGACTTTGCAGATGAGTGCCCCAAGCCTGAACTGCTTGCCATCTGCTTCCTAAATGCTGAGAATGCACAAAAGTTCAAGACAAAGTTTGAAGAATGCAGGAAAGAGACTGAAGAAAGAGAAAAGAAAGGACCAGGCAAAAATGATCATGCTGAAAAGGTGGCTGAGAAGCTGGAAGCCCTTTCTGTGAGGGAGGCCAGAGATGAGGCTGAAGAGAAATCTGAGGAGAAGCAATGAATCTGTCCTTTTCCTTCCTTTTTCTTTTAAAAAAATTTCCCTGCCCTTTAAGGTTTGTTTTTATTCTGTTTTGTTTTCACAAGGGACTTTATAAAGAACTGAATTCCAACCTTTAGGGGTTTTTTCTTTTCTTTTTTTTTTTTTTAATTCTTTTCTCCTTAAGTTTTGACACCATTGAACATGACTTCAGAAATCCATTCCCCAGTAATGAAAATGTACTGTGCTAACTTTCTTTTCCATAGTGGAAACACTTATTTATAGTCATCAAAAATAGTGAATAAAAATACCTTTGAAAAAAAATACTCTGTGTGTGTGTGTGTGTGTGTGTGTGTGTGTGTGTGAGAGAGAGAGAGAGAGAGAGAGAGAGAGATTATTTTATAATTTATTCAATGCTCTAACTGCCCTCGTTTGTTTTCTGTGCTGTGGTAAAACACTGACTAGAAGCAGCCTGGAGGAAGAAAGATTTGTTTGGCTCCCAGCCCATCACCAAGGGAAGCCAGGGCAAGAACTCAGGCAGGAACTGAAGTAGCGACCACAGGAGAACACTGCTGACTGACTTGCTCTCTCTCAATGGTTTGTTCAGCCTGTTTTCTTAGATAATGCAAGACTACCTGCCCAGGGTGGCAGCACCCAGCACGGGTTTGGCCCTCCCATACCAATCATCGATTGAGAAAATGCCCCACAGACCCGTGCACAAGTAAATCCAATGGCTGCAGTTCTTTAATCGTGACTTCTTTTTCCGTTATCCTGACACAAACTAACCGGCACAGTAGTCTTTGTAGATGGCAACGTTGTGTCCAGAAGTCACTTAAAATAAACGTACTCTTACAACCCGAGAGCCATGGCTTGAACACTCCTGGAAGATAGTCCCTGCCTGAGGGAGGCTGGGATTATAAACATCGAACACCTGATTCTGCTTCTAGAAAGCACCAGCATTCATCTTTATGGTCTTCCACCCTCCTAATGCTGAATTAGCAAACGAGAAATAACTGTGGAACACACACGTTGTGAATTCTGGCACAGATGTTTCCTGATGGGGAGGCTGGAGGCACCTAGGAGAAAGCTGTTCTGACCTCACCGCCACGATCAAGTCGCAAATTAAATGGGCATGTAGGGGCATATCTTCCCTCTGCATCATGCTGCTGTGTCTGCAGGTGGGGGAGCAGTGACATTTATGCTTTATGTGCTGAGAAAGTGGGCATGATGTCCCCCAGAGATGCCGAAGGTATTTTCACCATTCAACCCACAAAAAGTGAAAGACAGGTGGGGCCGTGTCTTCAGAACACTTTGAATGCCTGAAGCCGCGCATCTCTGCAGGTCTGCTCTCTGGTCAAGGCCCTGATCGCAAAGAAACCTGAAGAGCACCCCAAGAGCCCCTGGTGCCTTGCCAGATGCTCAAGGTGCAAACACTCAGAATTAAGCAGCAGGCTAGTGTGAAACAGAACAATGGGCTTCCTGTGCGGGCCAGTCCGCCCTCTAACTCCTGCTAGGAGCAGTCTGTGAACTCACCCAGTTAAAACTTTCCTTCCAACAACCCTGCAGCGAAGCTGCTTTGCTGTGGCAAAGGAAACTAGTGGGGGGTTGCCCATCCACAAGCCCAGCTGATCTGCTGTCAGCGTTGGTCCAGGAAAACAGACAGATGTATGTGATTAAATCCTAGGCAACTATGAGAAGAGAGGAGACTCGTGATGAAGATAAAGCAATGATTTTATCACGCTGCTATCAACCCTTTCCTGCAAAACATTCACTATGTCCCTTTTTTAACCCAGGGCCTGGTGTCCATCACACCCAGAGACACACTCACAAGTCCTAGTACAGTGCACTGGTGAATATATGAATATTCCCACCTCTCTAGGGAGCACTCTGAGAAGAAAGGGATGAGGTGGGATTCAAAGCGGATAGAGCCCATAGCCATGTGCCTTCAAGGGGGTTCATGTCACCAAAAGGACTGAGCTAAGGGCACCGGGGCAAGAACCACTCTGAGTTGGCACAGCCCCAACCCAGAGGTCTGAGGAGGCACCAAAGAGTAGCTGGCAAAATGCCACAGGCAATATCCATGGAGCCTGAAAGACCAGGGGAACGGCCATGCTGAGCAAGCGTCACTATGGCAACTAGAAAGCACTAGCTGGAAGCAGCTTTCAAAAACATGGCTCTTGCCTCTGTGCAAAAGAACCTCGACCACAGCAGGAAATCAGGCTGGAGTGAGGAGACATGGGGCAGAGCGCAGGAGACACGTGAAGGAGGTTAGGACACTGACCGAGTACAGGGAGCCCTGCTGGCGCCCAATAAAAGGCAGAACCAGCAGGTAAAGGGGGCACACACCTTTAATCCCAGCACTCAAGAGCAGGGGTAGGCAGATCTCTGAGTTCGAGACCAACCTGGTCGACATAGTTAGTTCCAGGACAGCCAGGGCTACACAGAGAAAACCTGTCTGGCAAAAAAAAAGGGGGGGGGGGGGGCAGAACCAAATCTGCTGAGTCCTGACTGAGCTCGGCTCAGCCGCTTTCCCAGAACATAAAGGGGGGAAAAGTTGGAAATGTGGAAGAGAGGAGAACACAAATGGAGCGTGAGACCAAGCTGCTCACTGAGTTATTCTCCAGGCTGGTAGCTCAGTGGGAGAGCACTGGCCTAGCATGTGCAGGGCCTAACTTCAGTCCCCAGTAAAAGATAAGAAAGTGGGGCACCACAAAAGAATAATCAAATTGAAGAGAAGAAAGTGTTGGCTTAGAAATGGGCAAATTCAAGAGGCTGAATAACCAAAGATTCAAAAGTATGTTCCTCGGTCCGTAAGATCAAGTGGAGAGACCCTCTTTCCCAGTCTTTTTGACTGTAAGGACTGGGAAGGGGGGCTGTGGGAATGTAATTGGCCCCATAAGCTCATGGGGAGTGGCACTATTAGGAGGTGGCCTTGTTGGAGGAAGTGTGTCACTGTTGGGGTGGGCTTTGAGGTCTCATATATGCTCAAGCCACACCCAGTGTCTCAGACTACTTCCTGTTGCCTGCTGGTCAAGATGTAGGACTCTCAGCTCCTTCTCCAGCACCATGTTGGCCTGCATGCCACCATGCCACACCATGATGATAATGGACTGAACCTCTGAAACTGTAAGCCACCCCCAATAAAAGTATTTTCCTTTACAAGAGTTTGTGGTTATGTTGTCTCTTCACAGCAACAGAAACCCTCAGACAGGAGAATCTCTAGGGCATAAAGAATAGGTGATAAACACCTTCAGAAGTCTCTGTAGCATTACATTCTGAAAGACAATGAGGCATTTATTGAATTTCTTGATTAAAAGGGCGAGACCCAGATATAGAAACCCAGTGAGGTCACCACACATGTGAAAGGGCCACTGGAAGGCACACTTAAGTCCGCTGGCTTGGGAAATGCAGTCTTACAGGGGTAATTAATGTTCATACGGGTAACTATGTGGAGAACAAGCTTTTATGGGGAAGATCCAAGTGTCTTCCTAGGAAAGGGGAACATTGTTGGTTTCTGAAAACCAGAAGTATTCATCGTAATCAAAAAGAAATTCCAGAATCTAACCCAACCATCACCAGAGCATCTCAGTGTAGGAGGGATTTCAGAGCACAGCAGCCTACAGTCAGCTCTATGACTGGACAGGAACCCAGGCTGCCCTCTTTCTGTGACAATAAAGAGGCTCATTCATGACAACACTGAAATTGCCGCATCAATGGGCCAGTGTGGGAGCTGAGTCACTTGTAGCTAGAACACATATGACGTCTGCTGGTTTGGGAACACACTCTGGTCTGTCTTGTGGATGTGCACAAGCTATTATGGAAATCCTTATGAAAGCGTACTGTACAGAAATACCCACCCCCACCCACCTGTTCAAGCTCTCAACTCCCGGCCCCCTGTGACCTGATTACCATGCCAAGTGCCAGCCCGGTAAACCGCCTCCTGTATGGTGACAGGCTCCAGCGGAAGTAAGCAGATGACAACAGAGAGTACAAACCAAAGACATAATAAAATAAAAAGCTCACTGATTCTCAAAAGGGTTTTAAAGAACTGCAATCAAGTGCTGACCACAAAATGAGCCTGACCTTCACAAAACTGTGTGAAATCATTCTCTTTCTGGGCATGTTGGCATGAGCCTACGAATCCCACCACCCGAGAGGTGGAGACAGGAGGATTATGAGTCTGAGGTCAGCCTGAACTACCTACTGAGGCCCGGTCTCAAAAATGAGTTCTCTTTAGTAAGCACCAAAGAAGTATTCTAGTGCTGAGCTCAGTGGGGCCACTCAGCGCTCGCTTCACAAGGGTCGAGGGCCGTGTTTGGCTCTCTAGAACCCACATAAAGTTAGATGTGGTAGCATGGGCCCATAATTGCAGCAATCCTATGGCAAGATGGGAGGAGGCAGAATTCTCAGGAGCTCAAAGGCCAGCTACACAGGCATATACAGGAGATCCCGATTCAGACAAGGCAGAAATGTCGAAGCCAGGGCTGAAAAGATGCGTCCTGCTCTTATAGAGAACCAAGTACAGTCCCAGAACTCAGGCCAGGCAGCTTACAACTGCCTGTAGCTCCAGCTCTCAAGGGATCTGATGTCCCTGGCCTCTGAGGGCACCAACATGTATACACACATATGCTACCCCAGACGCACACAATTAAAAATAAATCTTTAAAATAAAAAAGGTGGAAGGCGCCTGACAGAGATGGTGAACACCTTTAATCCCAGCCCTTGGGAGGCAGAAGCAGGCAGATTTTTGTGAGTTTGAAGCCAGCCTGGTCTACAAAGTGAGTTCCAGGACAGTAGCCAGGGCTATACAGAGAAACTCTGTCTCAAAAAAACTTAAAAAAAAGAAAGAAAAAAATAGTGAAAGGCAAGGACCAACAACTAAGTCACAGCCTCTGAATTCCACACATGCACCATGGTACACACGTGCCTATGCTTAGACACGCAAACACGTACACATACACAAACATGCACACTCCCACGTCATACACAGAAAAGTATTCTATAATTTTCTACAGTTTTATTTTCTGCTTCGACTTCAAAGAATATTAAGAATCTTTATTCTCTTTTTGTGCATGAGTAAAATATCATAATCCTATAAATTAAAAAAAATACTCTTAAG